ATCAACCAAAACCATGCTTCTTGACCTGGTTGGCTTTTAACTTGCAAGTCCAGTTCGCCATTCTTTCCATAGCTAATAGAACCCATCTGGTACTCACTACTGAACGGGTCATAACTGTGATGTCATCCATGAAAGCTCTGTATGGTAGGTGTTTTGCACCTTCATTTGCTTGTGGAACCTTACACTGCATCATCCCTGTATTTAGCAGTAAGTTCATGGATGTTACAAAGAGAACTACTGATACAGTGCAGTCTGCCACTATGCCTTTCTCTGAACTCTGCTAATTAGTGGTATAATTGCAAAATGTATTGTGCAACTTCAAGGAGTTTGTGTTTCCCATTGTCAGATTGACTACATCTGTTGGTTTTGGTACTTGAAAGTGAACTTGTACCTCTAGTATCAGTTGGTGAGGGACACTAGGTAGGCCTTCTGTCCAGCCAAACTACTGATTCTCTTTCTTGGCTTCCTTCACAAGTTGGCTTATGCTGCTATATGTACCCCATGATGTCTTGGGAGACCACTTTTCTGAATGCTTGGCAGGCCACTAGGAAACAACTTTGAGGCTTGACCATAATGGCCCAGAAGATCTTTCCCTCAGCATCCAATAATGATGTGTACCTGAACTGGTTCAGTCGCTCAAATTTTAGCTCCTTTGGAATGAAGCACCTTTCTGCCTAAGTCCAAGTCCTTGCTAGATTTTTTTGTTCTGGATGCTTGTTAACAATCGCCATAGATGTATTAACAGCTTTCCACAGTTCTTGTAGACCCTGTATGTCACACCTGTTAGACCTGAGGCTGAGCCTTCCTGATGATTGTTCTTACCTTATCAAGCTTGAAATCTGACTGGTCCCTAAAAAGTTTGATGTGAGCCTATAGAGATTTTCAAAGAATGTCTTCCTGGTCCTATGCTTCTCTTTTCCTGAGTGTTTCTATCTTTGGAAGAAGAATCTTTGGATGACTAAGATGAAGTAATCTCTTAAGAAGCATCTGTTGGAGCTCTCTTGCCAGTGATGAAGCCGTCCACTAACACTGCCGCTTTTGTCTTCTACTTGGCCCAACACAATGGTGTTTCACAGATGTTTCCTCCACTCCTTGTCCTCGCATCTGGGATGGAAATCGTTCTAACTTGGATAAGAGGTAGCATAGTGAAGAGGCTGGGCTCTGCATCCCACTTCTATTGGTTGCATAACTGCATACCACCCTCTTGTCATCAAATAGGTCTTTGATTTTTAAACTGATGAGATATTTTAGTTAAATTGGTCTTCTGAAGGTACCGTGAGCTCATTGAAGATGATGGTCCTACTGTGTTTTGACATCAGCACTGAGTTTTTGGAAGAGGTCAGTTGAGAGTCCAGTCGGATGTCTTGGATAAAACATTGGACTGAGGAACAGGCTTAATACATATTGAGTTAATAATTATATAGCTTTAACAACTAAATACTGTGGGTACCCTTTTCAGTTCATTGCCTATCCTAAAATGATATGGGGATATGTGGTCATTCGTATCTGTACAGTACTTAGTTCAAAAGCGATACAGCTTATATATCTTTGGCTGAAATTTAAATGTCTGCCAAACAGACCAACAAGAATTTCTGAACAAGCTAGGAATAAGGGACATCACTGGGCTACTTTCTAAAAGTCAAAAGCTATATTTTACACCCGGGGGGTTCACTGTATATAAACCTTGACAGGGGTACCTCTTTTTACATTTGGTATGGCAATGGATCCAAATTTTAGGATCTAGAATGAGAATGCCCCCAAAATATGACTTTTGAGGTATGACAATGGTCGGATTTTTCTACTTTGTGGTACAAGAATAATCATGGAGAATAGGTTACCTCTCTATTGTGGTATGGGATTGGTCTAGTTTTTACAAATGTCCTTAATTTGAGGTTGTTTTGGATCATTTTCCTAAAAGTTCTGCCTTCTTCCAGGGGCTTTAGACATTTTGCATTCCCTTGGTCTTATATTTTTGGGATATTTGGAATGGCATTAGTCCTATATTTGGACATTTGATATAGCATTGGTCTTATATTTGGTATGGCTTTTGGGCATTATTTTGGTTGGTATGGGAACACATTGAAATTTGACAGATTGGTATGGGAACATAATGATATCTGAGGGCTCAGCCTAGGACCCCTATAAAATTGTGTATTCAGTGAACCCCTGGGTATTTTACAAATGATACATTGACTATATAATAACATTACAGATTTTCAACAAGTGCCACGCCCCTTTTCAGAACAATAATCATTTGAAAGGTCATACCTTAATTTCTGACAATGTTTTTCTAAAACTTTCAATGCAAATATGTTCAAACTTTCAATTGCAAATATGTTTAAAATGAATGTATATATTTAATATCTTTTTATTCATGAGAGACCAAGACTGGTCACTCAGAGGAAAAGGCAATATGCATTACGTTGAAAAAGGGCAAAAATAATGATTGATGATGTCATATTTTATGCAAATATGGTAATTAACATAATTATTGTATCTTATAATATAGGATATTGTGATAGCTTCAGTTTGGTACCACTAACAGCTTTCAACTCTCAAAACTGTAGAAGTTATTGTACTTTGAAATGATTAACATCAATTCTTTTGCAAGAAGTGCCACGCCCCTTTTCAGTTACATAATCATGTGTCTGACAATGTTTTTCCAAAACTTTCAATTGCAAATATGTTCAAAATTAATGTACCTATATATTTAAATTCATTTATGTTCATGAATGACTAACACTGATCACTCAGGCGGAAAGGTATAATGCGATACTGTTGTAAAGAGGCAAGAATTATGATTGATGATGTCACATTTTATGCAAATGAGGCAATTTGCATAATTATTGTATCTGATAATATAGGATACTATAAAAGCTTCATTTTGGTACCACTTACAGCTTTCAATTCTCAAAACTGTGGAAGTTATTGTACTTTGGGATAATTAACACCAACTCTTTCAAAAATTCAAGATGGCCGACAAGATGGCCGCCAATGGATACCATGGGACAATATTTCATTCTGGGAACATGCAAAAATATTTAGTATGGACCTTTAGGATTACAAAAATGTACATTAAAAAAATACATCTTTCGGGTGCATGGGGACCATACCTTCCTACTAGACTAAAAATATCTTCGCATTTCCACAACTGTTGATGATTGGATCTCATGAAAAATTAAAATGCTTCCCCGCGTTTCGAATCATCCACAGTTATTAGAGCCTCTAATGAATTAAATTGTAAATAGGATGTCAGTTTTGTATCAATATTAGAATGGAATGCACATATTATAAGAATATATATGAGAATAATTACAAGATTTTGATTCATTATCTCAGCTTCAGCTTTACAAATGCCCCAGACACAGGCCACAAATCTATGAGCCTTAATGAGCCTTAATCTATGGAGCTTTAATACCCCATGACATTCCAAAGATAAACATTTTTCATTCGTCAATGTAACAAAGTGTCTTCGTCAACGTCACATTGGCAATATTCATGCAGATCATCAACGTAACAAAAGCGAGGGACTAAATATGTGAATTGCATCTTCGTTAATATAACAAACATAAAACCGCATGTATATTCTCAAACTAGACTATCTTCCTTATCTTTGAGCCAAATTATTGTCCACAACTTGACTTACAAGTGGTGTAAAATCGAGAAATAAAAATATCTTAACAAAAACAAAGCCCGGAAGTTTTTCCATCTTGTTACGTCTATAACAAGGTGAGTACCAGTGAGGTTGGCATGGGCCAGGCACTGTTTAATTTTTATGTATTGTTTTTATGTTATATTATGTTAGTGTGTGAGACATAAATAAATAACAAGGCACAGACGTGAACAATATCGTACCTAAAACACAGCAGTAAGACAGTGAAGAATTTAGGACGGAAAATCCAAAATGGCCACCTTCAAATTTACCCAGAATGCCCAAAAACTAATCAGTTCTTAACTTTGATACGTAGAAACATCCCTGAAAATTTCAGATGAATCCATCAAATGGTTTGGCTGGAAACCTGTAGACAAGTCTTGAAAGTGAAGATTTTAGGACGGAAAATCCAAAATGGCCACCTTAAAATTAACCCAGAATGCCCAAAAACTAATCAGTTGTTAACTTTGATATGTAGAAACATCCCTGTAAATTTCAAATGAATCCGTCAAATGGTTTGGCTGGAAACCTGTAGACAAGTCTTTAAAGTGAAGATTTTAGGACGGAAAATCCAAAATGGCCACCTTAAATTTTACCCAGAATGCCAAAAAACTAATCAGTTCTTAACTTTGATACGTAGAAACATCCCTGAAAATTTCAGATGAATCCGTCAAATGGTTTGGCTGGAAACCTGTAGACAAGTCTTGAAATTGACGATTTTAGGACGGAAAATCCAAAATGGCCACCTTAAAATTTACCCAGAATGCCCAAAAACTAATCAGTTCTTAACTTTGATACGTAGAAACATTCCTGAAAATTTCAGATGAATCCGTCAAATGGTTTGGCTGGAAACCTGTAGACAAGCTGAAAAGTGAGACGCCGCCCGCCGCCCGCCCGCCGCCCGCCCGCCGCCCGCCCGCCGCCCTGACGACAATATCGTACCTTTATTAGGTACGCTAAAAATACTACTACTACTACTTAAAGACATCGGCCTATTAATTTTGAATCAATTCAAAGAATCTTTAATTTAGTCACCAAATATTACATTATTTCCCCAAAATGGCAGCTATTTTGAATTTGGCAGCCATCTTGAAAATTCTTTCTGAGACAGATTTTCTACACAAATTTGAACCAAATCTGTTGACTGGTATTTGAGTTATTGTCCAGACAGATGAACAGATTTGGATGGCTTCTCTATATCCCTCACCAACTACATTCAATGGGGTAATCATTATTAAGTCCCATTGTACATGTATAATATAATATGTTACCCATTTATAATTGTTGTACATGTCACATGCTCCACAAGGCATTTCAATTTGAAGCATAGCTTTATATTTCTAACTACCTGGATGTGAAAGGGGTGGCAGGTTCAGATGCCTCACTAAGGCTGGTTTGTCGCAGGACCATGTCACCAAATTCTGACACTTTAACTCCCTCTTGCTCCATAGACTCTTCCTAAATATACAGAGTAATATAAGCATGGTTTACAATTTTGAATCCAAATTACAATTTTGCCAATGTTCTCTCGCAGTATAACTGACTATCAAAAGCTTCTACAAGTTATAGTAAAATTCAAACATATGAAAAGATTTCTTAAATCCACATAAAATATCGATCCACATTTTGACATTAGTAGATTTACTTGACTCTGTTGGCCCACAATTTTGGGTAAAATGAAGTACATGTAGTATATTTTAAAACTGTACAGCCAACTGTGCTAACTAATCACTATCATGAATACATTTTTAATATGTATAATCTTTTTCCTGTTCAACTTAAAAAGGTTTTAAATGTTGTTTTTCAAATTTCCTGATTGGGTATAAACCCAATGATACTTGTATTTCAAGTGGCACATCCTTACCTCTGATATAAGTTTCTTCAAGACACCTCTTCTATATTTCACCATGATTCTAGTGAGAAAGAGGTGCATAACTATAGAAGAACACAGACTGATGGCCAACACTTCTTTCCTGGAATAAAATGATCATCTCATAAATCCAGAAACAAAAGTTAGAAATGTATCAAACAAAACTAAATTAGAGCCCTCAAAGAGAGGTATTGTATTGTTATCTTAAATAAATAGTGCCGTGGGTACTGGGCTCACATGGTGTTGCTCAAAAGTGAATGATGGCTAAAATGGCAGAAAATGGATATAATTTTTGCCGAATTTTTGTAACAAAATTATTTCAATTCAAACAACTACTCTTTACAGTGACATAGCTTTTTACAATCCACTGGACACCTAAAATTATTTGTAAAGGGAGAAAATGGGCCAAAAGTGAGAAAATGGGCCAAAAGTGAATTTCGAGAGAAAAATAACGACCATTTTGAAAATAGGCGAGCTTTTGAACCAGGAGTCATGTGGGAGTTTTCTGTATTAATGTTGAACAAAAATAACTTGAAACGGGAATCCTATCGACAGAGGTTTTAATGCAAATGGTCCAGAAGTGGATTTCGCGAGACAGATGGACAAATCAATGTTAACTAAAATGGCTAAATATAAAAAAACGGATATAATTTTTTGCTGATTTTTTGTAACAAAATTTTTTCATACATTTACTCTTTACATTGACATGGATTTGTACAACCATACAAATAATAGTGTCACATGTGTCACCATCATATCTTGTATTTACAACCAATTCTACAGTGTTATTGCTATAATAGTGTCAAATGTCTCACCATAATATCTTGTACTTACCACCAATTCTACAGTGTTACTGCTATAATATTGTCAAATGTGTCACCATTATATCTTGTATTTACCACCAATTCCACAGTGTTACTGCTATAATAGTGTCAAATGTGTCACCATCATATCTTGTATTTACAACCAATTCTACAGTGTTACTGCTATAATAGTGTCACATGTGTCACCATCATATCTTGTACTTACCACCAATTCTACAGTGTTATTGCTATAATAGTGTCAAATGTGTCACCATCATATCTTGTATTTACCACCAATTCCACAGTGTTACTACTATAATAGTGTCAAATGTGTCACCATTATATCTTGTACTTTCCACCAATTCTACAGAGTTACTGCTATAAAATTGTCAAATGTGTCACCATCATATCTTGTATTTACAACCAATTCTACAGAGTTACTGCTATAATAGTGTCACATGTGTCACCATCATATCTTGTACTTACCACCAATTCTACAGTGTTACTGCTATAATAGTGTCAAATGTGTCACCATTAAATCTTGTATTTACAACCAATTCTACAGTGTTACTGCTATAATATTGTCAAATGTGTCACCATCATATCTTGTATTTACAACCAATTCTACAGTGTTACTGCTATAATAGTGTCACATGTGTCACCATCATATCTTGCACTTACCACCAATTCTACAGTGTTACTGCTATAATAGTGTCAAATGTGTCACCATTAAATCTTGTATTTACAACCAATTCTACAGTGTTACTGCTATAATATTGTCAAATGTGTCACCATCATATCTTGTATTTACAACCACTTCTACAGTGTTACTGCTATAATAGTGTCAAATGTGTCACCATCATATCTTGTATTTACAACCAATTCTACAGTCTTACTGCTATAATAGTGTCAAATGTGTCACCATCATATCTTGTATTAACCACAAATTCTACAGTTACTGCTATAATATAGTCAAATGTGTCACCATCATATCTTGTATTTACAACCAATTCTACAGTGTTACTGCTATAATAGTGTCAAATGTGTCACCATCATATCTTGTATTTACCACCAATTCCACAGTGTTACTGCTATAATAGTATCAAATGTGTCACCATCATATCTTGTACTTACCATCAATTCTACAGTGTTATTGCTATAATAGTGTCAAATGTGTCACCATCATATCTTGTATTTACAACCAATTCTACAGTGTTACTGCTATAATAGTGTCAAATGTGTCACCATCATATCTTGTATTTACAACCAATTCTACAGTGTTACTGCTATAATAGTGTCAAATGTGTCACCATCATATCTTGTATTTACAACCAATTCTACAGTGTTACTGCTATAATAGTGTCAAATGTGTCACCATCATATCTTGTATTTACAACCAATTCTACAGTGTTACTGCTATAATATTGTCAAATGTGTCACCATCATATCTTGTATTTACCACCAATTCCACAGTGTTACTGCTGTAATAGTGTCAAATGTGTCACCATCATATCTTGTATTTACAACCAATTCCACAGTGTTACTGCTATAATATTGTCAAATGTGTCACCATCATATCTTGTATTTACCACCAATTCTACAGAGTTACTGCTATAATATTGTCAAATGTGTCACCATCATATCTTGTATTTACCACCAATTCTACAGAGTTACTGCTATAATAGTGTCAAATGTGTCACCATCATATCTTGTACTTACCACCAATTCTACAGTGTTACTGCTATAATAGTGTCAAATGTGTCACCATCATATCTTGTACTTACCACCAATTCTACAGTGTTACTGCTATAATAGTGTCACATGTGTCACCATCATATCTTGCACTTACCACCAATTCTACAGTGTTACTGCTATAATAGTGTCAAATGTGTCACCATCATATCTTGTACTTACCACCAATTCCACAGTGTTACTGCTATAATAGTGTCACATGTGTCACCATTATATCTTGTATTTACAACCAATTCTACAGTATTATTGCTATAATAGTGTCAAATGTGTCACCATTATATCTTGTACTTTCCACCAATTCTACAGTGTTACTGCTATAATAGTATCAAATGTGTCACCATCATATCTTGTACTTACCACCAATTCTACAGTGTTATTGCTATAATAGTGTCAAATGTGTCACCATCATATCTTGTACTTACCACCAATTCTACAGTGTTACTGCTATAATAGTGTCACATGTGTCACCATCATATCTTGCACTTACCACCAATTCTACAGTGTTACTGCTATAATAGTGTCAAATGTGTCACCATCATATCTTGTATTTACCACCATTCCACAGTGTTACTGCTATAATAGTGTCAAATGTGTCACCATCATATCTTGTACTTACCACCAATTCCACAGTGTTACTGCTATAATAGTGTCAAATGTGTCACCATTATATCTTGTGTCATTTCCCTTGGTCTCAATCTCATCAAGCCTAGTTGTTGGGGTAAAGTCTCCAAACAAGTAACACCCATTATCTAAAATATTAGGGATTTAATGAACTGTAATGGAACATACTCCCTGGGGTGAATTTACTCATGAAGGTAAATGTCATCGTGAGATCTACAGCCTGTACAATCCCTTGGAATACACAATTGGATTATAAGAGGCTTAGTTTTCAAATTGACTGCTATTTATCAAAATAAATTTGTTTTGTTCAGTGTATGTTTTGAATATATAAAATATATAGATCTTGTGCCAGTCTGTATCTTTCACTCAACTTAAGACACTGTTGTCATATTGGCTCTGTTTTAATGCTGAAGGTACAGCATTGAAGTACTATGAAAGAGTAGATCCGGTCATAGTCTGGGACTGGAGATAAGGGTCTAGAGATAGAAACTTGGTGTTAGTTATGAGTCTGGAGGTTGAGTAGTTGATGTAAAGACTGAAATGATCTTATAGAGCCTGTATTGCAGTAGAATGTAAAGAAATATTCTTTAAAATGAATTGGACTGAATTCAAGAAGAACTTGTGTTGAGGCTTACAGGAAGAGATATTACTGGAAGTAATTCTCATTTGTCACCTGAAGTGGAAACGTTTATGAATAGATTATCAACACTAAGTAACAACAAACATAATATTCATATTAACAATGAACAACCCACACCCATCATGGTGAACAATATGTGGATTTAAATTCAATGAAATTGATGTAAATGTTTTTACCATATGGGTAGTCCATCTCATTGTGTGTGATGAGAGCTGTTTCTGTCTTGTTCTCACGTTCTACCTTCTCATAGTCTATAAGAGCTCTACTGTTTGTGTTCAGAATGGGTGTCCTGGAGGGAGCTGAAAACAATTGATTGCACAATAAATCATAATTTCTTATGCTTAGGCCAATATACTTACAGAATTTTTATGTTTCAGAAATAGCAGATCAGTTTGGCAGGAAAATCTTAAAAATATCTTTATAAAGGACAAAAAACCCTTAGTACTTGTCTTCCTGTAAAAGGCCCTTGCAATATTAGGTATCAACATGTACATAAAAAAGAGTATACAAAAATAAATAATAACCTGTTGCAATATAAGGCTTCCACTTAATGCTAGGAATTTGTAAAAGTTTCCCCTGTTTTGCAGCAGCCTCTGCAACAGTTGCAACCTCTTTTTCAAACTGCACACTAGGTTGTACATATAACTGGTTGAGGTGGTTACCTAGGAAAACAGGCATGGAGGTATTATAATGTACCGTAATCACCGTATTAAGGGCCCACCCCTAATAAGCGCCTACCTCGCTTCACAGAGTTCAAGAAATAACGCTGAATGACCAAGTAGTAACGAATATATCAGGAAAAAAAAATCAAATTTCCATAGAAAAATAGTGGGCGATAATAGAGTACTTAATACTAAAATGCAGAAAACATGATGCATTTTGGAAATTGATGCACCCTCCCGATGAATATCTAGTGGATGCTTCCCACATACTACTAAGCTAATATTATCTCAAAGTAGTCCATATAAATGAATGAATGAAATGATCACGTTCAAGAGTTTTGTTTCAACAGTTTACTAGCTTAGCGATCGTCAAGGCGTGAACTTTCTTGTTTCTTTTTAAGATTTCTCGACTTTTACATGAGTTTTATACGAAAAATGATGATCTGTCATTAAATTAAAAAAAAAAGGTATAACTTTAGATCGATATCTATGGTGGAAATATTGAAGATAATCGCGGAAAACAATTCCTTCACCTCGAGGGGCTCTGCTCGGGAGCTCTTCAGTCACCGTCAATATAGTTAGATTCTTGCTTTATTTTAGCAATCTCTACCGTATTCTCTCCAACTAGATAATGGCAACTCCGCGGAGTAGCAAATCCCAACGAACAAAATATCAATTACCGAATTCCAATCAATTATACTCATTACTTTGGTTGAAAATGAAAAAATTAGATTTTAGAATTGCGAATTCCTGCAAAGCAGCCATTTTGAATTTTCTGAGGTAAAAATCTGAAAAATAATACCATAATTGTGATCTACTCCAAAATTCCTTCAATTTGAGTATACTATAGCCATACTTTGAAGGGATCGAAAAATTATTGCGAAATCGTACATTAGACGGCCATTTTGAATTTTACGAGGCTCGAATCAGAAAAAAGATACAATATTTGCAATCTACTCTTAATTGCCTTTCATTTGAGTATAATAAAGCTATACTTCAGAAAGATCTAAAAATTAGCGAAAATTTCTGTTTTCCTGTCCCCCCATACATGGCCCCTGGGGGTCAGGATGAAAAACACGGAATACATGTGAAATAGATAAATGTTGTGAATACACTACCAAAATTTCAAACAATAATATTAATTACTTTGGTTCAGAATGAAAAATTTATGATTTTTGCGAAAAAGTCCCGTCATTTTTAAAGCGGCGGCCATCTTGAAAAATCTTTTTTTTGCGTAAAACTATTCACCAATATACATCTTTCCACTAAATATGAAGAAAATCTGTCAACTAGTATTTGAGTTATTTTCCGGACAGACGGACGGACTGACTGACTGACGGACTGACAGACTGACGGACTGACGGACAGACGGACGGAGGGCTTCACTATATCCCTAACGAACTTCGTTCGTTGGGATAAGAAGTTCGTTGGGATAATAACAATACATACATTATTGTACAAATAGGCTGTTACTTTCGTTGCAAATAAGGCATTTTTGGCAAGAAAAATTCCCATACAGTGTACATGAAATTTTCGGGGATTCTTGACTTCTCTCATATATGGGCGCTTTTTGTAATATGTTACAATGGGAATTTCAATTTCAAAAGCACCCTGGGTGCTTATTACGGCGAATACGGTATATGTATTTTTTGATATAATGTATAATACTATCATATTGAGTAGTATGAAAGAATGGTCCTGGAGTGGTGTGTTAATGACTGCATGAAGCAAATAAAATAGCAAAACATAAAGTTTAAGATGATAAAGTATTTTTGGGGCAGCCTTTTATAGAATACTTAATTCTAATTTATAAAAACTATTAAAAATAACGAATTAAACATATATATACATGTATGTATATATGTATTTTTTGGGTATATAGTGAAATCATTATAGAAAATAAAGAAAACGAGGAAGAAATTCAGTTATTACTATTTTCATTTTAAATCTTCATATAACTGAGAAGCATGTATGTTCAATGGAAAAATGTATTTTTTAAAAACAAATGGAATATGATAAGATTGTTATTGATTTACTACTACTGTATCTGTAAATACTTTAGAAACTGAAATAAACTATATTGAAAAGAAAAAAAAAACAAAAACATAAAGAAATTCTAGAGAAGGATGGAAAGCAACTCACCTATATATAGTAAAGGGGGTGGATGTCTCTCTTCTTGCTCATCCTCATCAGTTGTTAGTGCAGGAATGTGACGATCATCAAACAGACTAACATCTTCTAATTCATTCCCTATTAGGGCCCAAGCATTGGCTATAGGGCTATCAAACTGAAATAGAGTTCTTTACAGTGAATGAGCCCAACTAAACACTGTTTCTACATTTGATGCTTTATTCACTGAATGCATCTTGCATCTCATTTCTTAAAAATAAAATACCATTTAAGGAGATGTATATCCAGAGGCCAAAAATAACCTTAGATACTCATAGTTGAGTGGGTTTTGGGTTTTTTCAGGAAAGAAAGAAAAGACTATGTATGTATAGCTCCTGTTGTTAGTTAGTTGTAAAACATGATGTCTTGGACACCTGCTCAAAAGACATTAGTATTGATTAAATGCGAAAAACTTGAATGAAAAATCCCTATATCTTGGAAAATACTAATTGAATTATGCTCATTTTTTCAGGAAAGAAAGAAAAGACTGTGTATGTATAGCTCCTGTTGTTAGTAAGTTGTAAAACATGATGCCTTGGACACCTGCTCAAAGGAGAGTTGTACTAGGAAAATATGAAAAACACAGTCAGAGGTGAATGTCACAGCAATAAAACCAAACAACTTTCTAACCATAGTGTTTTGGCACTTCAGATTGGCACAAATTATTCTCATTCAATGTGTGGTGAATTTGTGGAGTTTCATCAAAATCACTCCAGGGACTTTACAGTCATGGTCAAAATGCCTTCTTAAATCTGCCTGAGCCAGGGCGCTTGACTGCGATTAGAAAGCATTTTCGACCATGACTGTAAAGTCCATGAAGTGATTTTGATTTCACTCTACAAATTTACAATACATTGCACGAATATGATTTGTGCGAAACTTGAAGAGCCAAAACACTATGGTTATTTAGTTTTTTGCGGTTGCAGTCTACCCTGGCTGCATTTTTCATATTTTCCTCATACAAGTGTCTTTTGCCAAATGCGGGCAGATTTAATATATATTCATCCCGCTCCCGGGACTTTTTTATTTAGAAAGGTTAAAAAATCAAAAGATTTAAAAGTTTTAATTTTTAATTAGACTTTTTGCCTGAGTTCTTATTCTTTTTATCATTATCTACAAGTTTTCTCAGTAACTATAAGACTTTGAGTAAATATAATTATATCATCAGTTAGGATATGTGTCAGGGCTACTCGGAAATTAGGTCAAATTTTTATCTCGGTCAAAGTCAAAATCCATCAACTTTTCAATTTTCACGAATTTTCGATTTTCTTTCTGAAAATATCTTCTCAATATATCTTGCTAGAAATCATTTTCTAAGTTTATCTAAGTATTTCATACAATTTCCTCACTCTATATCTCGATGAAAATTTTACCAATTAATTTTTCAATTAATTAGTTAAAGAGGCACTTTGCCATAGGATAGCACAATCAAGACCCCTCTTGACTTTTTTGCATATTGAGTTTCGCCACATATTCACCCATCTACTTACCAAAGAAGAAGTTCCAAATCCCCCTTTTTCAGTGTTAATTTTGCGATTGTGCTGGCCGATCTAATTATTTTCGAAGAAATTAATTCAATCTGAAGTTTGAATATACCGGGAAAGTCCTCCTGTTATCTGATTGGTCGTTGAATTTGTTTATCATGAACCTGATTGGCTGCCAGTTCAAGGCGCTTGCGGGCGCTTGTGTGACTCAATGGGGATTCCCCTCGCTAGCCGAGGAATCGATTGTGTTTAATTCTGGAGTTGGGTTGTTCTGTTGATTATTTCAATATTTCGGCAATTATATACCCAAAAATTATTCTCAAGATATATCCATGGTATGTGAGATATTATATGAGCAATAACAATAGGACATCATTGATTGTCTGGGGGAGAAACCTATGGCATAATGCATCTTTAATTAAGGGTAGATTTCAAACTGTTTCGAATCTATCAAGATTGGTATCAATTAAATAGGAAATTTTCTCGGGATTCCAAATCTGAAATCGAAATTGAGATCTGGCTTCCAGTTGACCTTCTATGAACTTTTAAAGTTGAAAAGTCTAAATTTTAAAATCTTTGTTTCAACTTTAAAATAAGTTAAAACAATATAAAAGGAAAACTCAAAATTTTAAGTGTCAAAGGTCAACGTCAAAATCTAAATAATTTTTTAACTTTCGCTTTAATCATACTAAATTTTAATATTTTGCTTTTAAATTTAAATGTTAAAAGCTGTTGAGTTTTAAAAAAACAAAAATTGTTGAGGACTTTAAATCAAGACAAGATAAAATATTCATGTTTTGATTGTAATTATTGTTTGTAATTACTACATTAGGGTTCTATATTATTCAATGCATATTTAATTCTCATAATCTACTTAGTATAGGATAAATCAGTTATTGAATGCTCGATTTTTGATACAGGGTATATCCCTCTCATCAAATAACCTCTATATATAGTTTCCAAATTAAACGCAACAGGGGAAATGTTTCAATATGGTCAATATTGATCAAATAAGAATGTAATGCTTATTTCTAGAGAGCTGCCATCTTTTAAGATTTCATTCAGGAAGTGATGTCATACCATATTAGGAGAGATGCTCTGCCAAGGTATATCATTTAAAGCAAGTATTTCCTTGAATCTCACTTACTGTGTGTTGCCATATGATGTCATGAGGGTTGTCTTTGTTAACAAAGAGAATCAGTCCCTTGGGTACAAGGATCTTAATAACTCCAGACTTAGGAGTCAATGGCTCAGGTGCAGGATGTGGTTTGGCCGACTCATTGCTGTCATCATCATCATCATCATCTTTAACAAATAATGATGCTATTATGCATTTGGAAACATTATTCAAATATTTTATTCTACTGAGGTGAATACCTGTGCATCTTTCATTGATCTTGTGAAATATGCACAGGTATTCACCGAAAATAGAATGAGATATTTGTTTTATTATTCACTGTTAATGTTCCTCACTCCTAAGATCTTTATTGATGTTTTTGTTGACTTTACCATTTTATCTGAATGGATATTACCATGAATTCTATAAAATATAAATAATCTTATAATATAAAAAATTAATCAAAGTAATTAAACCAATTATACCCTGGCTGGCATTGGATGAAATGTCAGCCAGGGTATATGGTTCAGATTTTAGCGGTCATACATACTCCAATATAGACTAGATTGTTCTAGCAATTGTGACGTCAAGTATCATATTAGAATATGAATTAAATTGATTCCTTTAGGTTTAAATCGCTATTTCAGTTGTCCTTTCCACACCCCAAAGTAAAATTCACCGAACATCGTCTTACAGACCAGTGCTTAGTCCTCACTTAGTTTTCACCATGTTCACTCAAAGTGGCCGATGATGGAGTAAATTACTTTATATATTTGTTACTTCCCCTAGCTTTATTTCGTCTTAACAATATGCTGTGTTACTTTTTACAGCATCTAATTGTACCTTACTACTTAACTGAATTGTTATAATGCTTGTTTTTTGGAATGTAAAGCTTCCAAAAATTGATAATTTTGTGCAAAAAAAATCTTTGCATATCCTACAGGACAGAACATAAGGTTGACTTCTAGTCAGTCTGTCAGATACAGACTAGGCATACCCCAGTTTTTTAAAAATTGTGTATGAGTAAAATTAATAAAAACCCTACTTATTTCCGCAGTGCATGATATAATTGTAGCATCATCATCTTCACTTTCGATAACTTCTCTGGAGTTTCCTAACACCTTGTTAACTTTCACCTCTTCAACATTTGGAACTGCAGGTTTCACATCCGATGATGAGGTTGCGGCCTCTTGAGTTGTGACCTTAACCCCTGCATCTATGATACCAGAAGTTTGGGTTTTGGAGCTGTAGGAATGAACTGGTTCAAAGGATCCAGGTAAAAATGACACCTCATGTTCACCAACACTGAAGTTCCATCTATAGCAAAGTGATACAAAAATAAATGGTGTGCTCGCTGAGATAACTAGACAACAGCAATGCCAAAGCGTAGCAAATCCCATCAAACAGCCATGGCTGGCATTATTTACAAACGAAGTATATAACAAAAATCGTAAAATAGCATATAATAAATGGCCACCATTTTCAAAATGGTTGCTCACTGGCCAAATTGTCATCAGAAAGTGTAATATGCTTCCAAGTAGGCACATATAAAATTTCAACAAAATTGCACACACGTACATGTAAATGGCGGCTATTTTTCAAAATGGCTACCTACTTGCCAAAATGTCATAAGACACTGTGCCATGCTTATGAGTATTCACATATCAAATATGAACAAAATCGCTCTATTACTTTTTGAGTTATTGTAAAAATAGTAAAATAACACACATAAAAATGGTGGCCACCTACTCCCCAAAGTGTCATTAGACACTGTGCCACGCTTATAGTATTCACTCCCCCAAAGTGTCATTAGACAGTGTGCCATCCTTATAGTATTCACTCCCCATAGTGTCATTAGACAGTGTGCCATGCTTATAGTATTCACTCCCCAAAGTGTCATTAGACAGTGTGCCATGCTTATAGTATTCATATATCAAATATGAACAAAATCGCTCAACTACTTTTCAAGTTACAGTAAAAAACATAAAAATGGAAGTCATTTTACATAATGGCAGCCTACTGCCCAAAGTGTCATTAGACAGTGTGCCATGCTAATATTATTTACATATCAAATATAATATTAACGAAATCACTCCACTACTTTTCGAGTAGTAAAAATGGTGGCCATTTTACAAAACCTCATTTTTCAAGATGGCTGCCATGTGCTTCTTTAATATCTACATTTCTAGCCTTATTAATGTTCTATAAAATCTTTTTAGTATAAATATATTGCACCTAAATTACTGTACAATCGGCACTAAAATGGCCACCATTTTGAAAGGAGCAGCCATTTTGAAAATCTGCTTGAGCAGAACTTCTACCCCATAGAGCATATGTGTACAAAATATGAACAAAATCGGGCAAACGGTATTTGAGTTCAGTATTATCGGTAACACTCCCCTTCCCCTTTTATCTATGTTTGTTTTTGTTGCTATTTTCCTTCTATAATTTACCCTCATATCGGAGACTGGTATCTAAATTCTGTTCATTATTGTTGTTTTTCCCATTTCCTTATTAGTCTTAGAACTCTGAGATATATTTAATATTTGATTTTTTGGCTTTTGGTATTTTATTTCATCCATTTATTTTTAGAATTGTCTTTTTGATATATGCTGACAGTGTTTCTTTCTTATATCCTTGAGATATTATTTTTTTCCCAAGGACTTGATTCTTTTGGAAGCAATTTTTTCATCACTGCAGACTCTTGATATTCTCATTATCTGTGACACATAGACTCCATATGATTGCTTTCTTGGAATGTTTCCTGAAAGATCTGGATAGGAATTTATTGAAATTAAAATCGTCTCTTTTACCATATATTTGTGTAGTAATTTTCTTGTGTTCTATTGTGAGTTTCATGTCAACAAATGTTGCTTCATTGGTACCTGTTACACTGCTGGGTTGAGTCTAACGAAGCATTTTTGTAACGAAGGTTGACGAAAAAATTGTGTCCACACTGGCTTTATCCAACGAAGCAATTCCCTGACGAAGCAATTATTTGGTGTTACACTGCACTTAAAATGCTTAGTTGCGCATGCGCATTGCATTATCAGCCCCCCAACACTGTCTTCCAATTCAGTATAACCAACATGGAGGAACGCGGACGCAAAGTCAACCTTCTTATCTCTACTCTTTTGCAAAGATTTCGATTGTTTCACCAGTCTGGTGTCTTATTGAAAGATATTCTCAAGAAAGCAAACAGGCGTTACCAATTGAGATGTTATAATCATAACATAAAGAAATCAAAAAGGAAAATGTACCACTTTCTCAGTCTTATTTGATCGGTTATGATATTGAATACCATGCGAGATAGGAGAGTATGGGCAAAAAAGAGAACAGGGGACTTTTTCGATCGACTTGTATTGAGGTAATTAAAAGTTCAGCATGTATTCAGCTACTTTTAAGAGCGGGACTACCCCATAATTCTAGAGGTATGTTTTCATGAACTTACGCGTAGATGCTGATAGATTCACGGATCAATCAATGAATTATGGGGTATTTCCTCTCCTTGCTTGCTTTTTGTCATCTAATCATTTTACCGTCGAGTGAGAGGGGTGTACCATAAAACACTCTGACATGGGAATAATAGTTCATGTAAGGAAACAAATGTTTGTCTCACACTAATTTCAAATAATATAAAATAATGAAAACTACTAAAACAATTTATAAAAATGTTAAATTGTGATATAAAAGAGTAAATCCAAATGTAAAGTACAAAATACAAGCTTAGCATACATATGAAAAGTCTGTCCCCTCCTGATATCTAATAGCCCATCTGTCATGTAACTTATACATTATGCCATTCCAAATTATATCATGGACTTTAACTACACTTGAATATTATAAATATTATAATCATGTATGAAGCAATTGAGATTTAATTAGCTGGCTTTTATGAAATGATCGGGTCGTGTTATTTAAATGGAATTTTGGCAAAAGCAAGAAATGGGGAAAACAATATTGTACATTCACTCTGCTTTCTGAGCTCAGTCGACGGGGTATCAACAATCAGAAATGCAAGCTGACAGAGAATTATTTAATCTAGCTTAAATGAAATAAGTATATGCTGTACTAAACTTCCTGGATCGGAGAACTTATGAAAATATACATGGTGTGTTGTGTTTGAATAGAGAAGGGGGGGGGGGGTGTTCGTTCATCGTTGTCCGAGGAAAGTACATATTTATTGCCGTTACTTGAAGCCGATGCGGTTTTATATTATAGTTCAACTGGACAAATCCTACGTGTAATTTAGAAAGAAAAAACGGGAATTAGTAGTGAAAGACAGAAATGTCCAGTAGACCATGTTACCCTTTCTTCCTTTATTTGGTTAGGAATATTTTCCGCATGTTTCTTTGGAGGCATGATTAGGTTCAATGATCAGAAGACAGGAAGCTGGAGATATACACGCACGCGCAAACCCCCAACTAAGCATTTTCTAACAAAGCTACCTGTTACACTGGCAAAAAAAGCTTCGTTGGGAGCTAACTTTCGTTGAATTTTCTACTCAATTGCTTCGATATCAACTAAGCTTTTCTAACGAAGGCGGGGGTGTTACACTGGCCCAAAATTGCTTCGTTACGAAGCTTTTTGCCAAATTGCTTCGTAACGAAGCATTTCAACTGGCCTGTGTAACAGGGGTCATTGTTGTTTGCAATTTCTTTGTTTAGTTTGAGTTCAGGAGGATATATAGTTCCCCTGTCATTTTATAATTTATCATCATTATTTATACTGCATAAGTCAACTATGAATAGGGCTGTTTTATTATATCTCATTGCTTCTCTGTAGTCTTTAAACATTAGTATACTCGTATGCATAATGATATAAATTTACCATATATGGTGCTGGATTTATCCCTATCGGTATTCCAGAATGGAGGCATTCCCTATATCCCTCCGAAATTCGTTCGATGGGATAATTATAATTATATGTATTGGTTAACCCATGCATTACTATCTTATTATGAATGGTCTATCCATGGCAATTATTATTCAACAGAGACTGGGCTTTCAAAAAGGCCAAGGTAATAATATTGAAGAGATCCCCAATGGAGCCCCCATGAGTTAAAGTAATTGTTTCACCTGATAAACTTCATTATTTTAACTACAGGCTGTTGGATATTGATCTAATATTATACCTCATGATTAAAAGTTTAATGGTAGATCATCATTTTTCATGTAAAAGTCGCTAGAATAAGGAGAAATGTTAGAAAGAAACAAGATGTTCACACAAAGTTCACATCATTCATGTGTACAAGCCTAATTACATGTTATTGACCCTTTCCATATAAAAAAAATAGATGGCATCATGGGTATTGGTAGGGCTAAATAACATGGCAACTCAATAGCAAGAGTCACTCAATTTCTTGATTTAACAAGCAATTTCGTTTGGATCAACTTAAAACACCATTAGAATGTAACTACATTGTATATGATATAATTGAACTGTGGATTGTGATTTCATATTAAAATTGTGATCCTTATAAGAGTAAATGAACTTTTAAAGGTTTTTCAACATTGTGTCAATGGGAATTTAGCTTGACCATTTTAAAAAAACTTGAAAATCTCTAGAATTTGAATATAGTGCAACAGTGCAAATCAAAGTTGGTTTCATAGAAAATTACAAACAGAATTCAAATATGCCATCAAATAGAAGAAAATGTTAGTTTTTAGTGATCTCACAATGTTCGCTGTTGTTTTATGAGTATTCTCCACAAGTTTGGATAGAGTAACTTCATTCGTAGTTTTGAAATGATGATGCTGAAATTATGTTTAACTGAAATAAACGCCATTTCCCCGATTTTCAAATTTTACTTTACGCATACACAGCACTGAATGAGCACTTGCTCATGATTGTTCATGTGATCACATCCTGAATTTGATTGGATGTCATATAATGGGGAATCCCCAAATACAATAGAATGTGAAAGAATTGTGGGAGCTACTCACTTCTTCTGGCTATATGGATAAGTTTCTACTGAACATTTCCTTTTTACATTTTGGACTATTTTGAGACATTATTAGTTTAGAATGGTGTGGAAGGTAGATATTCCCAATTATTATCCGGAATGGTGCATTGAATTGCAATATGCATAATTTTTATTGCATTTGAGTGTAAATATTCTATTATTGCCTACTTGATTTCTCAGAAGTTCCATCTTTTTTTATATATATTCATAATATTCTTTTTAATTAACTATATGTATTTTGATAACAAATACTATACAAATATTTAATTCAATTCAGAAATATATAGAGATTATTCTATATTATGTTCAGGATATTGGGAGTATCCCGAGGCGAATATAATATATCTGCCCCAGGGTCGTAGGTCCCGAGGGTAGATCTATTATATTGGCCATGGGATAATCCAAATATCCTGAAACGACTGTAGGATGATCTGTTTATCACATACCAATCTTGGTCATTTGGTTCACATTATTCTATTGGCCACAGCTTTAAAATAGTTCAGAAAATTCATGTCCAGTTTTGTATTCTCGGCCATAGCCGGATCTTCCTGTTCTTTGATTATTAACAGGGCATACTGCTTACTGCTCCTCCCCTTCTTTAAAGCATCAAACAGATTGCAGTTGTCTGCGTTTTTCTCCTTTGTCATTTACAGTTATTATGCGAATGTAACAAAGAATGAACCAATATGCGAACGACAATTATGACATAGCGGGCAGGTAAACTACAAGGCACGTTCAAAAAGTTTCTTACCAAATGCTCAGAGTCATTTTTATTTCTTGACATTTTAACCTGAATTTTTTACAGAATATACATACACCATTTACCTTTAGTTTACACATATTATTTTGGGTAATCGATGTTTACTGTTGACTAAGAGGTTGCCATAGCAACCAAATTCAAATAAGGACGGAGCAGCTGTATTTTGTAGCTGAGCCTAACCTACTTTGTCTCTTCTAGCAATCACATAAACACGTGTATCATCACTTTTTGTAGTTTTGAATGTCCGATGTGTACAACCAAATTGTTGCTATGGTAACACTGCTTATGTGATGTCATAATATTCTAGTCATAGTATGTTATGCCCACCTACTTTGATTGGCAGCCATTTTGTTGATGGATGATTGATTAATTTTTAAAATGAGTGAAACAATTAGAATTAAACAGCGTACAAATATTCAATTTTGCATAAAATTGGGGTTAAGCAAACAGGAGACACTACAAAAGATACAGAATGCTCGTGGAGAGGAGGCCATGTCCTGTCTTGCTGTTTGTGAGTGGCATGATAGGATTTGGCACCATGTGATTACTACTTGTTTCATGAGGCGAAAAAGCCTCTCCGCGGATTGAAATTTGAGGACAATGAATCAATAATTGAAGCCTTTAATAGCAGCCTCTATGGAATATCTGATTCCAATGAAAATCTCCTTCATGTATTCAAAGATCATGTCACCAGATGCAGGAAGTGTATCTCATTCGGGGAAGATTATTTTGAAGGCATGTGAGGCATGTAAAGACTCTCCATTATGACCCATACGAGTATCAAGAAATGGCGTGAAATCGCCCTTATAACAGACAGTGAGAACTGCTCCACCCTAGCTAATTTCAAATCCAGAAACATCTGTATTTTTTGTCAATCTCATTCAATTAATAAATAATTTATGTCATCATCCAAGCAATGTTGTATGTATATCCTGTGAAAATTTCAAGTTAAAATCTCAAGAAACAAAAAAATGAGAGCACTTGGTAAGAAACTTTCTGATCGGGCCTCGTATATCTGCCCGCTCAGAGCGGGATGTAAAGCTATTTCTGCCCGCTGATGAAAATATAAGTTTTTTCAAACCGGCTTTATGTTCCTTTAACACGTCCAAGTATGGAATAAATACAGATATTCAACGATCACAGAATTCAATATTTGTTTTATTATTTCCCCATTAAAGTAGTATAAGATTAGAAGTACACAATATTGTTATGATATGACTTTTAGTTTCAACAATGATTTCCAAATGTTTGCCAATATTCTGTTATAATTCACGACCATACACGTCAATGGACGCAGTCACACCATAATGGATAGTCACTAGATTCGGATCTTCCATGTAAAATTCCGTAGTTTTCGTGCTTTGATTAGTTGACTTTTGAATTTGTAAAAAATTGATCTTTCTCCCAGGTTTGTCGTACAGGTTTTGAACCTTTTCTTATGAGGTGGGACTTCCTGATATAACTTCACCATCTGTCATATCGGATGAAAATACTTTTAACTAAACTCCCAGGTATTAAGTGATATGACATCATTTTAATTGAATATGTACGTAGTAGTATTCATGTCACTGCCGATGAATACACTCTTTACATGTTTTCTAAGCAGGGGGACATGGAACCTCTATATATTTTTAGTCACATGGTATCTAATTGACCAATGAAAGAACGAACGAGTATCACAGTATGGAAATAAAAAAAAAACTTATTTACAGGTGTTATGAATGAGGCAAATTAAAAACGGATTACAGTTTGAAGTCTTCATTCGACAAATTATAATGTTCAGATTATATTTTAGCTATACGGTGCCACACAGTTCACAAAATTGCATATTTTAAATAGCTTCCCAGCTTCACATAAAGAACTCTTATATTTCAAAGTACAGAACATATAGAAACATTTCTACAATAATACCCAAAAAGAACTAATAAAAATAGTCTTACTTCTCTCCTCCTGTCCTCATCTCCACAGCACGTATTGTCTGACTGTTACGTTTGATCACAAGTATATCATCACTGTCTTCCACTATATCATTCCCCACTGTCTGGCATCCACTAGGGCTGCATACATAGCGCAACTACAACACAATGAGCATATACATTGTATTGAATTTAAAATCTTAGCGAACTGATTTATTTATCAAGTATGATTGACATTCCTGACATTTGGAAAGGATCTAGTGCATTTTTTTCTTATAAACATCATCGATGCATCGCTACAATTTGAACAGGGATATGCACTCTCCATTATGATTTCCCCATAAACAAAATGAATCATTTTAAGGAGTAACATAAAGAATATAATGTAACATAATACTTTGGAAAATATTTAAGCATTTGGACCCACATGGGCAGAGGTTGAGGTCATTAAGTTCAGCAAGGGTGAACTTTGACTTGACATTGGATGTGCTCCATTGACTTAACATGTGGATACCATCAGATTCCAATGGAGGCCATTGGTTTCTATTGATTTTCACAAAAATCCTAAAATACACTATGACCTGAATCGATTGCAGTTAAATAATTTCACAATATGACACAAATGGTAGATCACATCAGATGTGCAAATATGAAGTTTGCAATCGATTCAGGTCATACTTCAAATTAAAAGATTATACATTTTTTCATCATTTTTTCCAACAAAATGGCTTTAGAAAAATGCTTAAAATCCAAAGATTATACTGTTATGTTTCATTAATTAATAACATATTTGGATAAGATGTAGGGACATGAAGGATGCAAATGGATTTTTGACAGACACAAAAATACTTCCTGGTTTGGCATCTATACCTCTACACTTCATGATTGAATTATGACCCTTATAAGTGACCCATTCATCAATGCATGGCTCAATATAGGTCACAAAATACTAGTGTGCATATAAATGTAATGATAAAAGCAGTATACTCATTTTGAAAAATCAGATGAACAATTTTTTTCATGGGGAGGTCATAATGGAGAGCGCACTTCTTCCTTTGAACTTAATTGGAACAAAATACAAGAACACAAATGTGTACAAAATGTCCCCACCAAGGGGTGATCTCATCAAATGGTTATCCTGAAAATGAGTAGACAAGACTTTACTGACACAATTTGAGGACGGAAAGTCCAAAATGGCCGCCTTAAAATTTACCCAGAATCCCCAAAACTTAGCTAGTTCTAGATTTTCATACTAAGAACCACCCCTGAAAATTTGAATTGATCCGTCAAACAGTTAAACAAGACTTTACAGACAAGATTTTAGGATGGAAAATCCAAAATGGCTGCCTTGACATTTACCCAGAATGTCAAAAAACTAATCAGTTCTAGATTTTCATACTAAGAATCATCCCTGAAAAGTTGAAATTGATCTACCAAACAGTTCACCTGAAAACGCGTAGACAAGACTTTACAGACAAGATTTTAGGACAGAAAATCCAAAATGGCTGCCTTGACATTTACCCATAATGCCAAAAAACTAATCAGATCGACGTTTTCATACTAAGAATCATCCCTAAAAATTTGAAATTGATCTAACAAACGGTTCACCTGGAAATGCGTAGACAAGACTTTACAGACAAGATTTTAGGACGGAAAATCCAAAATGGCTGCCTTGACATTTACCCAGAACGCAAAAAAAACTAATCAGATCTAGATTTTCATACTAAGAATCATCCCTGAAAATTTGAAATTGATCTACCAAACGGTTCACCTGGAAATGCGTAGACAAGACTTTACAGACAAGATTTTAGGACGGAAAATCCAAAATGGCTGCCTTGACATTTACCCAGAACGCCAAAAAACTAATCAGATCTAGATTTTCATACTAAGATTCATCCCTGAAAATTTGAAATTGATTCACCAAACGGTTCACCTGAAAACGTGTAGACAAGACTTTACAGACAAGATTTTAGGACGGAAAAAAACAAAATGGCCGACAATAAAAAAGTGATTATGAGTTTTTGCTGATTTTCTTTTACAAAATTATCACATATTACTACTGTTAACAATAACATAGGCTTTTTCAACAGAGTACACCTGAAATTATTTATAAAGCTACTAAATAGTTAAAGTATGAAAACTCAAAAACACCATTCAATATGATACAAAGTATTATCGCACGCTAACTTTTTTCCAGACATTCAAAATGGCTGACAAGACTGGGCTAATAGGTCCAAAACCTAATCAGATGTAGAATGAAGTGAGCTGAACAAGATGTTAAAGTTTTAAAAGCAACTGTGAAGCCGTTTGCAGACAAGGATTTTAGCATTTGACCTCAAAATGGCCGACAGGAAGTAGCTATCGAGTTAATTTTTTTTCATCCACATCTGTATGCACTCACAAGTTATTCCTGAAAATTTGACGGTGATACCTGTAGCGGTTTTGGAGAAAACTGCCGGACGTACGGACGGACAGACAGACAACCAGACAGACAGACGGACGGACGGACGCGCCTAGGACGACAATATGGCCCCACACTATGTGGTGGGGACATAAAAAGCACTTCAAGGCACATTGGGCTTCAGAGCAGATAAGATGGTTCAAAAAATGTCTGTCTTTAGAGTCGATTTCATGGTTTAAAACCTTCTCTGATGATTCAATTTTCGAATTATGCATAATGGTCCATTCAAAGTCGGCTATTGAACCTTGAAATGCCATATATATGCTGAGAATTGAGAAGGTAAACCGGAAGTAAATTTTCAAGTTGAGTAAATGAATGATAATGTTCTTTTTATGAAGCAGGGAAGTCAAAACATTACTAATAGAATTTATAGTAAGCATCTAAAGATCATTTAGAAGCATTTAAAATCGAATCCACCGCAAAATTTAAAACACATGAAAACTTGAGGTTTTATAAACAATGAAAAATATGTTTATGAATTTGTCTGATATCTGCTTATACATTTATATTGTAAATGATATGTATATTTGTGTTAATTGTCAAATTGCAAAATAGGTGGGGTGAAATATATGTCAGAGTCGTTTGATCTCATCCCAGAAGCAATATTTTGTCAATTCTGTCACCCAGAATTCCTACATCTTCCATATAACATCCTCCGATCACAGGGCTTCAAAATCCAGAATATCTTCTTTCTTTTTTCCCCTGCTATAAACAGTTAGCATTTTCCCGATTAAGAACTCGCAATTTGATTTGCCGTCGTAACACTGTGACAGCAATCATGTATTTGTCATTGGCGCATAATTATATCACGTGATTCAGCTTAATCGCACGCTTCCAATTTGGTTATAGCAGGGGGAAGAAGGCACCTGCTTAGGAGGAAGCCATATAAAGGTAACAAAATTTCTGAAAACCATGCAAAACCTCCTGTTTTAAGGACCCCTATTCTAACCAAATGGGATCAGTTTTAGATATGCTCAGTAACATATTTCTACTGGTTGAGGCTTAATCAACCACTGTTCTTTTTTAATTGGTTGGCATAACCTTGAAATAGGTCATTAAACAGGAGGTAAAGGTTTAGCTTAACTTAGACCTTTCTGAAAACTTTGGTTACCTCTGACAAAATATTTCTATTTGAGAGAGGTATTCATTGAGACAGATTTTATTATACACATGTAGAATCACTGGCATGTAGCGATTATAGCGGTCCTGTCTTGGCTTATTGAATTGTTACGAAGTTACGTATGCGGTGCGGAAGTTAGAGAGCAAATGACCATCATTTCAATGTAATAGTTTATGCAGGAAAATTGAGATTAGGCCATTCGAGTATTTGTTTCATGCATTTGTAAAACGTTACCCACTCATAGGTCATACTTATCGTTAAACCAATAACTCAAATATATGCCCTTGTACACCGATCACCTGTTGAAATTAATACAGGCCGATTTCAACAAATGTAAACGGCGATATATTTAAAATCGTATTCAAGCATGACCACGTCCCAACTTCTTTTGTTTTCTTTACAACTAAGCTATGACTGCAGTCTATTCAGTGTTGCGTATCGAACCTTGTTTATTATAAAAATAGTGCAACAACAAGCAGAATTCACACATTTACCTTATACTTATTCTCAACTGAAGACATTGAATTTATCTCTTAGGTTTAACATTATAAATATCTTAACATGCAGAATACGAAAATAGAGGCTTAGGCCCAACTTTGTATGAATTTTATGAGAATAATCTGATTTTAGAGAAATGAAAAGAAAAATGTCCACACACTACACAAAATATTTATGGTTCCCCGGGAATACGTATGTGCTGCTTGTATATTAGAATCGTATTCCAGTTACAGAAAGAAGTACATATCATGCTAAACTATATACAACAGTTATGCACTTGGAGGTTTTGGATACAGGGAATATCCCGAGGGATATATAATATGTCTTCCCTTGGTCCCTTCGGTCCCTCGGGAAGATATATTGTATATCCCTCGGGATATTCCCTGTATCCAAAACCTCCAATTGCATAACCCCTATATATTGGCCAAGGGATAATCCCAATATCCTGACTATAGGATAATATGTTTATCCCATACCAATCTTGGTCATCTGGTTCACATTGTTAAATCGTGGAAATATTTTAGAATATTCATGTCCAGTTTTGTTTTCTTGGCCGTGGGCGGATTTTCATGTTCTCTCAAATAATCCCATATTTATTTTCTCGAATTTTTTATTGATAAAGTGGATGCCCTTTCCCTTTTTTTAACTATCAAACAGACCCTGATTGTCTGTGTTTTCTCCATTGCCGTTTACAGTCATTCCGCGAACGTTACAAATTATGAACAAATATGCAAGCGGCGATTATGACGTAGCGGGCAGATATACTACATCTGCCCGCTTGGAGCGGGACGTAAAGCTTTATCCCATGGTTGCAAGGAGGATATAGATCGAATATCACATGATGATATATTTGATATGTGGATCAAGATATCATATTTTATCAAACAATTTACAAACCATCGAATATCACTTTTAAACTATCGAATATCACATCTTAAATAGAGGATATCCTATGATTTATGAGTGATATGATTTTTATCCACGAATGGATATGATATCTGCACGAGTGAGCGTAGCGAGAGAGTGCAGATACATGTATCAACATCCATGAGTGGATTAAAATCATATCACGAGTAAAT